CGTCCTGAATTGGTACCTTATGATGGAGCTAGCATAATAAGAATTAATAGTTCAAATATTAGATCCCCTTTGTTGATGATTATTTATATACATGAAATTTAAATTATCCGATTTACCCTAAAAAGTCTACATGATAACTCTTTTATTATTTGAGATAATGTCGATTAAAATGAAGAAATTAAGGGAGAGAGAAATGTTAACTGAAACACCTCTTGATCGAGATTTATTAGATCTTCAAGCATGGAGACTCTTAGGTGCTTTTTGGCTACCTAACACATTGTAATGTAACTCACAAGATCTCAAGAAATACAGGAGGAGGGAGAGAGGGAAATTTCGAGCTATATTAGACTTTCTAGATGAATTTTTTAGATCCTGGGAGAAGTGTCCAAGTCTACTATTCATAGACGTGAAAACTGACTAGAACGGCCCATTCTAATTTTAGAACGACCTGTTCTAGATTAGTTTGTTAATAGTAAAATTTTAATCTAGAACGGTATGTTCCGGTGTTAGAATGAGTTATTCCGAATATGAATTGAACTCATAACAACCTGTGTTGGAACAACCCGTTCTGGCTCATTCCCAACTAGGGTTTCTAAGACTTTTTAGTAGTTTGGAACGACCCGTTCCAGATTGGGAACGACCTATTCCAGATTGGGAATGGCCCGTTCTAGGTTACTAAATCACCCTTGTTGGGCTTTGGGCCTTCTGATATCATATCGTGTTGTTTCTAGGCTTTTAGGAGCTTCTTTTCTTCATAATAGAAGTCCATTTCTTTGTTTGCAGGTCCTGACGAAATTAGGTGTCTATAGATGCCCCTCTTTACTTGTCCTTTGGGATAGCTAGGTGTTTGCTTTTCCAAAGGCAAGTAAAGAAGTAGACATTTTGTCTGGGTCTTCTCTCTGTCTCTTCGTGCAGATGCTTCGCGTTGTTTCCTTCAGATAGGTGGACTTGTTTATATCCTTGCCTGTCAGAGTATCTAAGTATTGGGTTGCGTACTCTATTGGGTAACAAGGGTGACTAACTGTACACCTGATCTTCAGCCTTCGAGTAGATGCTCCGTGTCATTTGTTCTAGTTGCTTTTCTTGTGATGATGAGGTGAAGATCTGGATCTTCTCTCTTGCTTATACAATAGATACCTCCACGTTGTTTCCTTCGAGTAGATGTTGTTTACCTGTATCCTTGCCCTTTAGAGCAACTAAGTGTTGGATTTTATGCTCTATCGGGTGTCAAGGGTGGTAAACTGTGCCATCTAGGCTTTCGACTTGGTCTAGATGCTTTTTACTGCTTTCACTTGTCTCATAGTAGTGTGATCTTCATTCATAACTCGCTGATGAGGGAGTATGTTCTAAGCTTAGCCTCTCTAGGCTGGACTGATATTTGAGGTTTCAACCAACCTTATATGAGTTATGTACTAGTTTTGGGGATCTAGCAACCCTTTCTAAGCTTGTACTACTTTTGAGGGTCCAACAACCTTTTCCAATGTTGTATTAGTTTTGAGGCTCCAACAACCTTTTCTAATCTTGTACTAGTTTTGAGGGTCTAGCAACCTTTTCCGATCTTATACTAGTTTTGAGGGTCTAGCAATCTTTTCCGATCTTGCAACCTTTTTCGATCTTGTACTATTTTGAGGGTCTAGCAACTTTTTTCAATCTTGTACTACTTTTGAGGGTCTAGCAACCTTCTTCGAGCTTGTACTAGTTTTGAGGGTCTAGCAACCTTTTCTAATCTTGTGCTAGTTTTGAGGGTCTAGCAACCTTCTCCGAGCTTGTACTAGTTTTGAGGGTCCAACAACCTTTTTTGATCTTGTACTTGAGGAACTCGATGGTGTCCTCTCATTGGTGTTATGGGATGCCCCTCGGGTTGACAAGTAGGGGAATGCCTAAGATGCCCTATGTTTTGGGCTAGGGCTAACGGGATGTGTGATGCCCCGCTAGGTGAGTATTGTAGCGTCTTTCTAGACGTCTTCATTGGGGAATGAGATGGGTGGCAAGGATTATGGTGTTGTTCCTACCGTGTGAGTAATGTGATACCTCTCCAGGCATCTTCCTTGAGGATGTGTGTGTGGCGAGAATTCTGTGTTTCTCTCGCCAAGTGAGTATTATGATGCCTCTCCAAGCATATTCTGCTTGGATGCTGTGGCTATTCTTTTGTTGATGATCGAGTGTGGGATATGATGCTGACTTTGATTTTCTTGACCTTGTCCAGCTGTCTAACCTGATCATTGTTGTGAGGGGACCCTTCCGCTTGCTTGTAGGCTGATCCCCGGGCTGAGGGCTTTTTTTGTTCATTCTTCTATCTTCTATTTTTTGGTATTTCTCGTATGGAAGATTTTTCCCTTTTTCTATATGTAAATGATGGATGCATGCTTTTTTTATATTTTAAATATCTACATTTTATTTTTTTCTATATGTAAATGATGGATGCATGCTTTATTCTAAATATGCATCTTACGTACACCATACATGCACAATAAGCCTTTTAAATGTTTACCGTTATCGGATGACCTTTCACTACTCCTTCAACAAAGTTTTTTTTTTAAAAGCCATGTAATTTTCTGTATTAATTTTCACCTATTAGGAGCTCATACAGAGCTGTTTTATTTATTTATTTGCCTTTTATTGGACTGTTTCGATTTTGAGAAATGAGAGAAAAGTGGTATCTTCATTATAAATTGGAAAAGTTTTAAGAAAGGATTACAAAATGGATTTAGTAAAAAGGGCTGGCTGAGGTTGGCCGGTGTTTGGGCTCAAGCAACCATGATTTGAGAAACAAAGCTAAACATCCTCCTAGTTGTCTGATCAGTAGTGCTTGGACCTTTGGTCAGATTCTCCAGAGGGTTGATAGGGTATTTAGATCATCTTTGATTTTTGATCTAGATGCTTGTTGCTTGCTTTTCATTTCTCTCGGCTTTTGCCTAGGATTTTCCCTAATGGAATTTTTTTTGGAAAGCAATTATGTTCAAGCGTAAAATTTCTTTACGGCATTGGAGTTTACTGGGTAAGGATTTTTGGGCAACTTGTTGAATAAAATTTAGTTCATAGAGCTGTATTTTTGTGCTAGATAGTGACCTTGTTTCATGCTGAGTCCAATCATCCTTTTTCTTTTGTATTGGATGCTGAGGTATAAGTCAAATTTGGTGGATCAACTTGGTTCACCATATTCTAGGTCAAGTTAGGTTAGAAAAAAGAAAATACTAATTTTGGTTAAATTCTAACTCAACTTACTTAACCTGTGAACTAAACAGGTTTGAGCCAAAGTGAGTTAAGTTGGCTCGTTTAACACGCTATTAAAAAAGATTAAAAAAATTGTTTTATGTAATTTTGTTTGAAATTTTCTTATGTATTTGCATTTGACAATGATAGACTTAATTTCTAAATATAAAATATTATAATCTATTTTATTTATTAAAATTAGAAACATGTAATTAATTTTTTTATTTTTTATTTTTTTTTATTTTTAAAACATTTAATGAGTCAACGCACCTAACCTACCAATCTATGGTGAGTCGAGTTGAATTGAAATTTTTTAGCTCACCAAAAAGTGAGTCGAGTTAGGTTGGTCTATTTAAAGTACCAACCCGTTGTGAGTCAACCCGTGTGAGCTGGGTTGACTTACTTTGATACCTCGTCGAGAAAGAACAAATTTAAACTAAACAAAATAGAATCAATATTACATAAATATCATATTAAAGTTTCAGAATATAGAACTCAAAATGACTTATAATAGATGTCTCAATTATGCATTAACTAGTGAAAATCTTTAGAAGACTATGAAGTCCATTTTTGTGATATCTTGAGCTCTACGATTTCTTTTTAAGAGATCTTGGTAGCTATGAAAAACATAAAGATATATCTATATTTTTCATGAAGAAGTCAAGAGCTTATATGAATTAGATTAGGGATAACAAGTAAATACATACATGTGGGTAATGTATGAATTTGTCCCAATTTTTACAAGAATTATTCGATTTGACTAGGTATAAGTATGAGTACAAATAATATTTGATTTAATAAATTGAGTACAAGGACGGAGATAGAGATATACATATTCTCCCCATATCCATACTCATATCTACTTTAAGTTTTTAGATACTTAATTTATTTTTTTAGAATTTATTTAATATTTATGAAATTCTTACTTAATTTTTAATTTATGTCAAATAAAGCATAATTAATATAATTTTCTAATTGTTATTGTATGTTTAAATTTTTAATTTTTTAATATTTTTTACAAAAATTAATATTTAATTAATTTTTAGACAAGTAAAAGATGGGAATACAAATTTTATACCTATCGAGTATGGAAACGAAGATACATATATGATACAGAAAAAGAGATGAGTACGAGAATAGAGATGTGTAAAATTACATAAAATAAAAAAAAAGTTATAGTAATGTTGATCTTGACAACAAAATAAATTAAGTTATTGCATTTTATATATTTTAAATTATATATATATATATATATATATATATATATATATATTATAGACAC